AACCGGGCCTAAGGGCAACTTTCACCAAGCTCCGGTTAACTCAACCGATCTAGTAACATGCAGGATTGCAACTGAATCTGATGAGAAATCTGATGAGAATCCGAGAAAATATATCAGATTCGGTTGCAATCCTGCATGTTACTAGATCGGTTGGGTTAACCGGAGCTTGGTGAAAGTTGCCCTAAAGCCCGCTGCAGACGATGCTATTTTTCCTGCTGGATTGCTTGCGATTTACTAAATTACTAGGAATCCTGAATGCTGAGTGGTGCAATGATAGTAATTTACTAAATTGCAAGCAATCCAGCAGGAAAAATAGCATCGTCTGCAGCGGGCTTAAGACAAGTATATTTTTTCTCATTCTAGCTTACTGCACTAGTTCACCAGTGCAGGAACAGAAAACAAGCCCTCGTGCTGCCAAATTGAATTCGCGGCGGCGACGATCGCTCGAGCTGCTTCCGCGGAATACACGCTTCGCGTATCTCGCGCTTGCGTCTCGCTCGCGTTCCACAAGAAGGCGAGTCGTCACGTGTGTGCGCGACGCGTCGCGGATCGATGACTTGAAGAAGAAAGCGCGAGAGACAAAGAGAAAGAGCGAAACTCGGGGACGTGTTTCCCCGGTGTCTCGTGGACGACGCGCGCAACTCGCTCGCGTTCCCGCGCAGAATAATGTAGATTGCGAGACGTATTTTCCTGTTCATTTCGTACAATCGTGTGCAAAATCGTAGAATTTTGCGCGCGCGAAAGGGTCAGCAAGGTTGGCACTCCTGACGTCCAACCCCCCCCCCCCCCCGCACCCGGTAGTTACGCGCTTGTCAGTCCTGTCACCCGTGTGCTCGCGCTACGATGTGTTTACATTGTAACTCACGAGACGCTACTGCGTGCTGCGAGGACGAGTCACGTTGATCCCGGCAGCATGAAGCGCACGGTAATGCCGCAGCCTACCGTTCGCCCCCGCGCACGACGCGGAGACGCTCGGCGACGCGCCGCGCGCTTCCTTTTCTCCCCGCCCCCCGTCGATTTGCGACAATTTTTTAGGTTATTCTAGGTTAATTCGTCCACGCCAGGCGCAATGTTTACGCGCGCAGCGGGCGTCTCACCGGCGCCGTCCGCGGGGCGAATCGCCGCCCCGACGACCTCGCCGCGGCAGGCGCGCGCTCGATTTTAATTGACGACGCCTCTCGATCTTGCAGGTGCCCGAGGAGAGCGGCGAGAGCAAGCGGACCTACGTCAAGCAGGAGTCGGTCAGCTTCGGCTACGATGCCTCGTACGCCAATTACTCGCCGTCGTCCGCGCCCTCCATCGCTCAGCCGTTACCCGGCCAGCCGCCCCTGCCTCCCATGCCGCCGCCCAGCGGGGTTCCGCCTCCGCCGCACGTATTCGGACCAGTGCCTTCCCAAGTCGCCCCCATCCAAGCCTGGACGCATCCCCCGTGGCAGTGGATAGCGTCGCAGCCGTCCCTGCCGCACCCGACCCCGCGCGAGATCACCAACACGATTCAGAGGGAGATGCCGCTGAGGGGTAGCTACGTACGCCACGAGAGGTTTGCTCACAACCGGAGCAATATGTACGTCCAGAGGAATAACTTCCATCGTAAGAGCAAGAGGCCCATGCGTTTCGGCCAGTCGCAGGGCCAGTTCGATCAGAACGCGTACTTCGGCGCCACCCTGACCGGCAGCCTCGGATTGCAGTGGCAGAGGAACAATTACGCCGCGCCGGCGGGCGACGGATTGATGAACCACATGGCCGTCCCTCTGTCTGCTCATTCCATACCTTCCATTCCACCGGGGATCGCGAGCGGCAGGCACGGCGAGGAGGCGGAGGATCAGGATGTGAAAATTGTACCGTACCGATGCGTATTGTTGAGCGGCGCCTGCGTCTGTCGCAGGGGCGTGCTAACGCGATTGGATCTTTCTTTTTCAGGAGAAGGTGGTGAAGAAGAATAAACAGAGGAAGCCGATGTCCCAGAGCTATCCCAGTAAGCCGTGGAACAGGGAGGACGCGGAGAGAGCTCTGATGACCGAGAACGAGTACAATATGAAGAACAAAGTTAACGCGCAGAGTTTAATAATTAAGTTTCCCGATCCGGATCTAAATAAGGACATTGTCAGGCTGTTTCACCCTGGTATACGGAATATACACTTTCAAAATCCGAGCGGTCCGAGGTATTGCTTCATTCAGATGGCGAAGAGCGTCAACATTGACGGGGCTATAAAGGAGCTGGAGAAGATCAAGTTCGGCACGGGGTATCTCAAGGTCGAGAAGAAGGCGGTGAGGAACGAGGATGTCCGGAACACGAAGCCCGAGGACATAAATCCATACAATCTATACATAGGAAATCTGCCCACGTTTGTTAAGGCGAACGAAATTAAAAGCAAATTTCCGAAGGCACGCGTGGACGTGTCGAGGGCGCGGAAGTTGAAGAACACGCAGTGAGTTGTAGACACTTTATAAACGTTTACGTAGCCAATAGAGAGAGAGAGAGAGAGAGAGTGCAATCTTCGAATATTCCGTTATCTCGTTTTTACATTTGTTGTAGGTTTGCTTTCGTGAGGCACAACAGTGTATTCTTTGGCTACTCCGTTGTCTCATTTCTACATTTTTACATTTTGTTGCAGGTTTGCTTTCATGAGATACAACAGCGTAGACGACGCGATAGCGGATTACAAAAAGGCGTACGGTTTAATGTGGGACACGCGGAGTATCATCGTTAAATTCAGACGAAAGGAAGGCAACGCTTATCTTCCCGAGGAACTTAAGCCCGACTTCAAGAAGGTCAAAGAGGAGACGGGCAATGCCGCGCAAGCGGAGAAGGAACAGAGCGCGAATCACGTCGAGCTTAAGCCCGATGTTAACGATTCGAAAGAAGACAGCGCTGGTCAAGCGAAGGAGGATAAGGTCAACCACGCGGATAAATCGAGGCAAGACGCGGAGAGCGTGGAAGCGCGATTGCAGGATAATTCCAGTAAAGCGCAGAACAAATCGGCCTCGCTGGTTCAGGAAAATGCAAACTCTCGTTCCTCTTTGTCGCCAACCTCGATCGCGTCGGACAAGACTGTACAAGAGCAACGACAGCCCTGGGTAATATAAAATCAGTATCATTAAGTGTGCTGCAACTGTACGCAAGTAATTATGTTATTTTTCGGAAAATAATTGAAACACTATTGCATATTCCTAAATCAAGTAAAAAAGTCCCGAGACATCATGAGCTAAACATTGAAAAAGTTACAAATTTTCTCTTGAATATCTCAAAAAATGTGCCTCGGTGGCCGAATTAGTTGAGACGCCCGCCTAGCGAGAGGGAGGTCCAGGTTCAAACCCTGGCCGAGGTGATATTTTTTCGCAATAAATTTAGAATAGAATATTTAGACACTACCACCCTGTCACGGCTCCGAGTCCTTTAAATTCTTTGAAATTTGTGTTTAACACATACGAGCCATACTAATTTATTTATCTCAAAAAATATCAGGCAAATCAAAAGACGTTTCGGACAAAAGTTGTACACATTAATTAGTAGAATAAGATAGTATAATGAACAATAGGGGGTTCCATTTAAAAAATTGAAAGTGACCTTCACAGGACCTTCAAGTGACTATCCAAGGTCAAGTCAGTGGCGCCACCTTATGTCCCCCCCGCGAACCAAACAACTTTTGTTTGAAACGTTTTTCCGTATCTTTCATATTTTCGGAGATATTTGCGTGGATCATTGAAAATTAGACACCCTGCGTATCCTAATGCTTCTATTGGTCGCAAACAGACGTGTTCTCAAGCACCTTCGACATCGGAAGCCCCGTCGTCGTGTCCAGCACAGAGCGACGCCGCCGAGGAGATGGTGATGCTCACGCAAATCAAATTGGAACCTATAGATTACGATGACGACGACGACGACGACGATGACGACGATGACGACGACGACGACGACGAGGAACCGGACGATACCGACGACGACGAGGATAATAACGCGGGGAACTTCGAGGACAATGAAGACGAGTCCGACGACGATAGAGACGTTGCGTTTGCGAAGCTTTCATCGGAAGCTGCGAAAGATAAGGAAGAGCCGGCGGATGTAAGCGTGCGATTAGTTGCACTGCGTCTGGTTGAAGCGATTCGGTAACGCGAGCATCTCGTTTCAGCACCTCGACCAGATGTTCAGCGACTTGGAGAACATGACGAGCGACATTGGTTTGCTGAAGAATTGAACGGACGACCGTCTCGACGCGCCGAGATTCTCTTCGGTGGAATGCAATTCCACGTATAATTGTATAAATCAGTAGCCGCCTAACTATAAGCGAATAAGACTGCATGTGTTTAAATACAGTAGCGTAAGCGACTATAGGAGCCCATGTTTAGGCGTTTTGTAATTATTTTTTTCATTGAATTTCAACCTGGACACCATGCCCGAGCGCATGATTATGTAAGCTCTATTGTATCATTAAAGTTATTATTTTGTGTATCCTTCGTGGTCAGTCAATCCGTTTTTGCGTCGCCTCGTCCGCGGCGCGTTCCTTTTTTTTTCCATTTCTTCGCGCGACAAACCCGGAAACGCCCCCACCTCGCCTTTCACCCACGACCACAAAGTCGCAAATCGATGTCAATTATAATCGAAGGATTGCGAGCTTACTGCGTATTGTGAAAATAAACGACAGTTAATGATACAATTCTGCAAGTAATAATTCTCTTTGCGCTCAAGTCTCTCTTTTACAGAAGCGTCACGTCTCTGTGGCTTGGTTCGCGCGCTTCAACGACGCGACGCGCGTTCGCGTCCGCGTCGTCACGTGCGCGGCGCGACGCGGATCGATAGTTCGAAGAAAAGAAGGAAGAGAGAGAGAGAGAGAAAGGAAGCGAGGAATGATCGGCGTCCGCGAGCGCGGATGCAGGCGCGTTCCTCGTCAACGACGAGATGAATTGCGCAACGCGATTTCGCCCAGTGATGGGAGATCGCACGGAATTCACGCGCACGCGCATTGAGCAAACTTCTGCGCAGCCTCACTGACGTACATATTATGTGGTAGCATAAGGTTCCCAACATGAAAATGAATCTGAAAGCGAATTTAGGGAGGAAAAATTTTGATGTAAGTATCATGGTTCACAAATGTATTATTATTAGAAACAGTAAACGAAGCAGATGGGTTGATATTACGACTTTGATTTATATTATCAATATGTATTATCACAAACACTATCACAGAATAAACACGGGAAAACTATCGGAATGGATACTTCGTGCATGCACGGGACCCCTGTGACCCCTTAACGTGGCACCTACATCCATCATTGGATTCGAGCTGCTACGTCATCTCACGCATGCGCACGAAGTCTCCCGTAGCAGACGATTCCGTGCAATCTCCCATCACTGATTTCGCCCCGTCACCTCTCGTCGCGATCGGGTCAGGGTCGTTCCTGTTTATCCGCCGCGCGCACGCGCGCAGGGGTTGGCACCCCTGGCGTCCGCGCCGTGGCGTACGCTTGTCACTCATGCTCGTGCTACGATGTGTTTACGTTGTAACTCAGGAAATGCTGCTACCCTGTAAGGCGAGCCACGTCGAGCCTGGCAGCATGAAGCGCGCGGTAAATGTCCGGTGCCCGCGTCACTCCTCGCCGTCGCCGGCGCGACAATCCGGCGGCGCGCGTCCCACCGCCTCCCCCGTTCTCCGTTGCGCGCGCGACGACTCTTGTAGGTTATTCTAGGTTAAGTTCGCTCCCACGCCGAGCTGCGCTTACGCGCGCGATTGCACCGACGTGGTACGCGCGACCGGGCGGTCGCCGGGCCGCCCCGGCGCCGCCCGGTCGCCCACGTCGTGAGATTCGCCGGTCACCGCGCGCCCGCTCCGTTTTAATTCAATACTTTGACCGTGCCGTTTCAGGTGCCCGAGCAGAGCGGCGATGGCAAGCGGAACTACTTCAAGCACGAGTCCATCGGCTTCGGATACGACGCCGCCTCGTACGCCAACTACCCGTCGCCGTCGTCGTCGTCGTCCACGCCCTCCGCCATCGCCCAGCCTCTACCCGGCCAGCCACCCCTGCCTCCCATGCCGCCGCCGCCCAGCGGGGTCCCGCCTCCGCCACACGTTTTCGGACCAGTGCCTTCCCAAGTAGCCCCCATCCAGTGGACACCCGCGCACACCCCCTGGCAATGGATAGCGTCGCAAACGTCCCCCCTGCCGCCCCCGACTCCGCACGAGATCGCTAATACGATTGCTCAGAGGGAGATCCCGCTCAGGGGTAACTACGTGCGCCGCGAGAGGTTTCACAGTAGGAGCAACGTGTACGCTCAGAGAAATAACTTTCACCGTAAAAACCGAAGGGTGGTGCGGTTCGGGCAGCCGCAGGCGCAGTTCGATCAGGCCGCGTACTTTGGCGCGACCCTCGCCGGTAATCTCGGACTGGAGTGGCGGAGGGGCAATTATCCCGTCGCGACGAGCGACGCCATAATAAACCACATGACCGTTCCCGTACCTAATCATCCCCCCGTACCCTCCATCCCGCCGGGAATCGCGAGCGGCCGGCACGTCGAGGAGGCGGAGGATCAGGATGTAAAAATTGTACTGTCGCGAACGTGCGTCTCCCGCGCGGTGTTTGCATTCGAGGCCGGCCTGATGCGATTCTCCTTTTTTCAGGAAAAGGTGGTGAAGAAGAACAAGCAGAGGAAGCCGATGTCCCAGAGCTACGTCAACAAGCCGTGGAACAGGGAGGACGCGGAAAGGGCTCTGAAGATCGAGAGCGAGTACAACATGAAGAACAAGGTCAACGCGCAGAGCTTGATAATCAAGTTCCCCGACACGGACTTGAATAAGGACATCGTCACCAAGTTTCATTCCGACATACTGAACATACACTTTCAAAATCCCTGCGGGCCGAGATACTGCTTCATTCAGATGGCGGAGGACGTGAATATTGACGAGGCGATCAAGGAGCTGGAGAAGATCAAGTTTGGCCTTGGGCACTTGAAGGTCGAGAAGAAGTCGTTGCGAGACGAGGATAATCCGGAGGAGATAGATCCCTATACCTTGTTCATAGGAAATCTGCCCGAATCTGTTAAAACGAGCGAGATAAAGAGTAAGTTTCCGAAGGCGCAAGACGAAGAGACGCGGAAGATGAAGAACACACGGTGAGTTATAGGTGGATCTTGTTAATCCGCTTGACTTGCTGTGCAAGTCTAACTGGATTGTTCAGTTTCTTCAAGAAGCTGCGCTCATAATGTTATCCCTACGTTTCGTTGCAGAAATATTCTTATGAGATACAACAGCGTGGATGATGCGATATCAGACTACAAACAAGCGTACGGTTTAATGTGGGACAAGAGGAATATTAACGTTAGATTCAGACGGAAGAGAGGCAACGCTTGTCCACCCGAGGAACCCAAGCTCGACGTTAAGAAAGTTAAGGAGGAGCCGAGCAACGCCGCACAAGCGGAGAAGGAGCGGAACGCGAATCATGTTGAGCTAGAGGTAAACATCAACGAGTTGAAAGAGGAAGAAGGTAACGCCGACGAAACGAAGGAGGACAAGCTCAATCACGCGGACAAGTCGTCGGCAAATCAAAATGCGGGTAGCGCGGTAGCGCGACTGCAAGATAATTCCAATAAGGCGCAAAGGAAACCGGCGTCGCAGGTTCAGGAGGACACGAACTCTCACCTGGCTGGGTTATCGGCACAAGAAGAACAACCTTGGGTAATGGATGTAAAATCAATGTCGTTATATTGTGTACTGTCGTGTGGCGATTGTATGTATAAATTTCTAAACGTTATTGCTCGGGAAAGAACTGTTTAAACACCGCACAAAGCTCTGGCGAATAACAAATACAATGGGATAAAAGAGTTAAGAGCCGCGATAGGATGTTAATGTCGAAATTTTATTATATTGATGGACAATTAGAAGAAATTTATCTTCTGGCTGAGGTAACATTTTTCGCAACAAATTTCGTCTGTGTAAGACAATTATTTAGACACTGACTCTCTGTTACAGCTCTTAGCTCTTGTTCCATCGGATTTGCTGTTTAAGTGCACCTCGGGTTTGATCCTTAAGATCAGGCAAAATAAAGCCACATAGTATTTTACGGTCGTTCCAATGGGTCGATAATACTTTTATCTTTCTATGTAGACGTCACAGTCCCCTCAAGTACCTACGGCATCGGAAGCTCCCCCGCCGTATCTAACCGAAGCGAACGCCGTTGAGGAAACGGTGATGCTTGCACAAATCAAGGAGGAGCCCATAGATTACGATGACATGGATACGTTTGATAATATGTATAATAGCATGCGGTCGGACGATGATGTCGACGATGATGACGATTCCGACGATGACGAGGAGCCGGACGATTCCGACGATGACGAGGACGATGCCGAGGAGCCGGACGATTCCGACGACGACGAGGATAACAATGCGGATGACCGTGGCGACGACGATGAGGACGAGGATATCGACGATGACGGAAATATTGCGTTTAGGGCTAAGTTGTCAGGAGCAACGCGAGATAACGAAGAACCGTCAGACGTGAGTATATAGCGTGCTTGACTAATTGCGCATTTGGAAATCTCTTGGATAATATTTCGGACGCGGCACTAACATCCCGTCTTCTTGCTGCAGCACCTCGATCAAATGTTCAGCGAACTGGAGAACATGACGGGCGATATTGGTTTCTTAAAACAATGAACGAAACCACGTCGTCTCCAACGCTGACCGATCCAGTTCTTTTGATGAGATTTGATTCCGCATATAACGTGTAAATATCAGTAGTTGCGTAATATAAACGAATGAGACTGCATGTATTTAGATATAGTAGCGTAAGCGATTATATAAAGCCCGTATTTAAGTATTTTGTAATTATTATTTCTTCCAATGGATTTCAATGAATATCAGGCTTAAGCGGATCATCATGTAAGCTCTATTATATCATTAAAGTTATTATTTTACGTATTCCTTCGTAATTAATCTGCTCGCCGGCCGCGCGTCGTTCTATTCGTTTTTCTACAGAGAAAGTTGCAAGGAGCGAGCGGTGAACCCGAAGAACCACATCTTTTTTATCGACGAATCCAGTACGGGAGTTCTGTAACTTGCTATCGAGGCTTTTCGATATCGTTAACTAGTAACAACCCATGAAAAGCTGCGTCTTTTACGAAGATCGTCTTTGCCATTGGCTGTCGCTAGTTAAGGATACCGAAACGCATCGATAGCAAGTTCCACACAAAAGAATCCCCGTACAGGTGGTCAATTCTGTATCTTACGCTATAGTGAAAATGTTAAAAGTGAGTAGCCTTGTCTCTTTCTAACTGTCCCCTTAAAAAAGAGACAAAGCCGCTCGCTTTAAGCATCTTCACTATGGTGTAAAATACAGAATTGAGCCCACTATAGTGAAAATGCTAAAAGTGAATAGCTTTGTCTCTTTCTAGCCGTCGAAAGAGACAAAGCCGCTCACGCATTTCCACTGTATTGTAAGATACAGAATTGACCCCCAGGAGGATTCGTGTCAGTTATAATTAGACGATTGCGAGTTTGGCGAATATATTGCGGAAATATAACAGTTGAGGCTCTGCGAAGAATAACGATTCTTTCCACACACATGAGCTGCGGCTACAAATGCTTCGAAGCGTTTCTCCGTCTATCTTTATTGAAAGGAAGAAGCAGGAGAATTGTTCTCGACGAATATTCTGAAAGCGTTCTTCTTTGTTATGAATGTACGATTTCTAATTGGAACAATCTATATATATATATTTGTAGAATATTCGATTGAAATATTCTGAAATTGAGAATATTTGCACTCCAGAGGAATATTCATAGAACTACGTGTGCTATCTGGGTAGATATACAATTCGCGATTGTAACGTTCTATGCATATTCATATAATATTCAATCCGAATTCCAAAATTAAGAACATTCGCGCTCTCTAAGAATATTCCATAGAGCATTGTGTGTTATCTGCCCAGATAGCACAAGACACTCCTACGAACATTTTAAGAATATTCTTCAAGATTATTTGGAATATCCCATAGGTCATTCTTATATATTTATCTTATGTTCATAGAATATTCGACTGGCACTACTATAAATGTTTTTTTTTCAAATGTGAATAGAATAATCTATCGAATATACCCAGTGAGAAATGATTCGTCGATCGACGTCGAAATGATGTCGAATCGACGTCAATTCGACGGTATCGATGTCGATTCGACGTCGTTTCGACGTCGATCGACGAATCATTTCTCACTGGGTAGCGTGTCGGTTAGTCCCAGTCTACAATAGAGATTTAAGCCCTAAGCTTTAAGAAATTGACTAATCACAGTCGCGCATTCTACTCATACTTGACCGTGATTGGCCAATTTCTTAAAGCTTAGGGCTTAAATCATCTATTGTAGACTGGGACTTATACATGGTATGATCCCAAGTTTCACTGCTTTTTACATAAGATATGTGTATTACGCAATAAACAATACGCGATACGTGAACTCGATGAATATTAAAGAATTATTCTGAACAAATATTCCAAAGGCATTCTCGACGAATATTCTGAACACGTTCTTCTCTGTTACGAATGTACGATTTCTAATTGTAATAATCTATATATATATTTATAGAACATATTCGATTGGAATATTCTGAAATTGAGAATATTCGCACTCCAAAAGAATATTCATAGAACTGCGTGTGCTATCTGGGTGGGGGACGCGTGTCGAGTTGTGTAAAGTCCGTATCAGACTACGGATTGAGATTGGGATTAGATTGAAATTTGACCAATCAGAGTAAAAGTTACTGAACTTAAGATTAGTAAACTTTACTGTGATTGGTTAAATTTCAATCTAATCCCAATCTCAATCCGTAGTCTGATACGGGCTTCACCTTCCAAAAGATAGCGCCGGTCAATCCTCCCTGCGATTGTTCAGCGTTTGAACGCCGGATACATTCCCGGGTCGCGCGGGCGCCACCTACCTCCGGCCGCGCGCGCGAGCGCGCGACAAAAGCGCGGGTAACCGTCCGCCGAAAGTCCGTGGTGGCCGCGAGGGGATAACTTGTTGCTTCGGGCGATTATTTTCGCCGCGTTTACCCACCCGGGAGCGAGTTCGAGAGCCTCGTCGGCGCGAGCGTGAGAGAGCGGAGCGGCGCACGATGTTCGAGGCACGCCTGACGCAGAGCGCGATCCTGAAGAAGGTGCTGGACGCGGTGAAAGACCTCCTGACCGAGGCGACTTTCGAATGTTCCGACTCGGGGATTCAGGTCCAGGCGATGGACAACGCGCACGTCTCCCTGGTCTCGCTGAATCTCAGGAGCGACGGCTTCGACAAGTACCGTTGCGACCGTAACCTGTCCATGGGGATGAGCATCAGTTGGTGAGCTCGGACGCGATCGTTTGAAGGTTATGCGCCGGCCGACCTTGTCGAACAAAGGCAGCGACGGCGCCCGGGCCGACGCCAGACATCTCGGCGATGCTCTCGCGGCGCAACGGAATTTTACGAATTCTTGCTGGAAGACGTTGCCGCGATGTCGCTAGAATGTTCTGCGTCAGCCGCGTGCTCCTTTTCGCTTCATTTACCCTCGCGCCCTTTGCTCCGCGAAGCGGTGCAGCCGCTGAGTAAGGATTTTATGAAATTTTGTCCGGTATTCACGGTCGGATCTTATATTTGAGACCGTCCTAAGTTGATCTCGACTTAAAATCGACTTGGGACAGTCTTAGATACAAGATCCGACTGTGCAAATCGCCCGGTAAGACTGTACTTACGATGATCTTAAACGTGAGAACAGACTGTTACGAGTTACCAGCCGTAAAGTGAGAGTCGAGGGAGAATTTTTGAGAGATGCGGCCAGAAGGAGCGGCTCTAGAGCCCGGCGAAACGACCACAACAATTAATGCCCGTCCCAGCGCACAGTAATTGACCGCGAAACGCTTTCAGCATGTCCAAGATCCTGCGATGCGCCGGCGCGGAGGACACGGTGACCCTCAGGGCGTGGGACAATCCCGAGTCTATCGTCTTTATATTCGAGTCGCCGAACAAGGACAAGCTGGCCGAGTACGAGATGAAATTGATCAACATGGATCAGGAGCACCTGGGCATACCCGTGAGGCTCTCTCGCTTGCTTAGGCTGATGGCAGAGAACAATCTGTAAACGCTTAAGACTGTCTCAGTCGCAGACGTAGGGCAAGTCGTATACAATAGCCTTTCACGACTTACGTTTCTCTCTGCCTTGCCCTACGTCTACGACTGAGACAGTCTTAAGCGTTTACGGATTGTTCTCTGCCATCAGCCTTAAGAAACGCGACGGCGGCTGTCGTTCTCATCTAAACAATCGCTTTGCAGGAGACCTCGTACTCGTGCGTCGTGAAAATGCCGACCGCGGAGTTTACCCGCATATGCAGGGACCTGAGTCAGTTCGGGGAGTCGATAACCTTCGCGTGCACCAAGGAGGGTATAAAGTTCAGCGCGTCCGGCGACTACGGCTCAGGTGAACTAACATTCCCGAGATAAGGCGATACGGCGCGCCAACGTGTTTCCTCTACTTACGTCGTAAAAGCGAAACGGAAGCCTCAGCGCCATTCTCTTTGATGCCGAGATTATCTGTGTACTGCCCTAGCGCGACCACGGATCGAGACTGGCGGGGTTGAAGTCCTCGATCCTCGACCGAAGGTGTACTTAAAACTGCCTGTTTTTCTAATCTCGCGAGCAAAGGTCGCGGTTTTTGCACACTCTTCCTTGTTTACGTTTTCACTTCCATCTATTTACCGCGGGAGGACATTTGGCCGCTAGGCGAAATTGGGCAAGCGCAAGTTTTGTAGATACATTTGTACAGGACTTTCAAACGACGCAAAAGAGCCAAAAGCGCTATGATGTTTATAACACTGTACAGAATATTCGAGATCAAAGAGACTGGCCGTTCGCGCGGCGACGCGCCCTGTACGCGCGTGTTACACGAGCGGCTTTTACACGCTGCCTCTATTTCTTTGCAGCCAACATCAAGCTGGCGCAGACCGCGGATGCGGATAACGAGGAGGAAGCGGTAATAGTTAATATGCAGGAGCCCGTGAAGCTGACGTTCGCCTGTCGCTATCTGAATTGCTTTGTGAAAGCCGGTCCTCTTTGCAACCAAGTCACGTTGTCCATGTCCGACGACGTGCCTCTCGTATGCGAATACAAGATCGGCGATATTGGGCACATCAGATATTACCTGGCGCCCAAGATCGACGACGAGGAAGAAAACTAAAATAACGATAGAAATAGAATTCGTATACATGGAACTGTAATTATCGATGCTACATCACGTGCTGTTGTTTCTCGGAAAATTTTGCCCTATTAGCATTCGACGCTCGTCATATTTATTTCAATAGGAAACGGATTAGTGGGCTCGATAATTTCAAGGAGGGATGATGCCATACACACTTGCTAATCTGAGAAAATTAAATACACCGTTATTCGACATTGAGGTACAAGTAAGGCAAAGTTAAAGGTACTTTTAAGGTAATATATTATTTTAATTTTACATTTAAAAGTTATTTGGCTCGTCACAGTGCTAGCGCGATGCAGAATTGACACTAAAATTTATAGTAGAGTGACACAATGGTTAGTATAGCAAAATGGTGTCATCCTCTTAATTAATATTCACATTATTAATGTTCCAGAGACTGTGACAGTATTTTGATAATATCGCATTGTTCTTTTTTTTTATATGTAAGAAGAACTCAATATATTTTCAAAAAATTTGATAAATTTTGAATGTTATATATTATCCTTATGTCCTAGCCTAGATCGAAATTTCAAGTTTTGCTTAATGCAAGTATCTTACTTTTTTTTATATGTTTGTGTGTGTGTATACGCTACTTTAATATAAAAATACATAATTAACTTACGAGCTGAGGGAATAAGAGGGCTATCATGGATGGAATAGCCTAGAAATAGTATACAGTTAAATCTTACATAATTTGGATTTATCCTAGAATTACTCTAAATAATTAAGTTAATCATTAAATATTGATTTATACTATAGAATTATTTTACACGCAAGCACTCCTCGACAGATCTCTATAAATAGTAAAGTCATTCTTCATTTGTCCTCTTTGTTCTCAAACGAAAATCCTTTTCTCAAACAAGTAACTTGTTTTCAAATACGTGCGCTACATTAAGGGGAAGAAAAGAAGGTTCAAAACGTTCAAATGAGACATTTTGGCAATATTAATCAGCCTCTTTGGTATTAAGACCCTGATATTGCTTTCTTGTTTCAACTCAACCGAAAGTTATTTAACGAGAGAGAGAAATAGAGAAGTTCTATTATTTTATACATTATTAAAAAGAAGATTATTATATAAAGAATGCACAACTACCCTTTAGAAAAAATAGTTTGTATAGATTTCTCTCCAATATGCATTGTGAAATTTTAAAATGCGCGCTCAGTTATGCTTCCTCTCGCGGTGGAGATTCACACAGATCTCGGCCCGATCAGTTCGCCGTCGTGCTCCGATTTGGCATCCTTTTTATACGTTATAGATACGCGTTCAGTCTACGTAGTCATAATATTGAATATACATAAGATACCGTATGGTCTCTCCACGACTGAGACGCCATGCAAGACAATATATATATTTATATACATATATATTGTTGCGTCGGAAAGAAATGTGAGAGGTCTTTAAGCGTTCGTGCTACCGTTACTTCCGTATAAGCTAGGATGTACGTATTTGTCATGCAGTGTCCTTAAATGCCTCAGTAAGTTGCTCTTTACGTTGAAGCCCTTTTTACAGTAGGAGCAGAGGAAGGGCTTTTCGCCCGTGTGTGTTCTCTGGTGGATGACCATCGAGGCGTGACTCGGGAACTCCTTTTGACATATGTTGCATAACTTTTGGTGATTGTGAACCCTCTTCGGCTTCGGGGGCGCCGAATTGTTCATCAAGGCCAGCTGCTCCTCCGTGTGCTCCGTCTGTATGTGACGCACCCACTCCTGCGGCGTCGAGTACATGTTGCCGCATAGATCGCACTTGAGAGGCGGGAAATCCTTGCTGTCGTCGTTTATATCGTCCTGAAACCACCGCATTTTCTCGTTTCACACATCTCTACGCGCGCGCATACGCCGCATACAAGGAATTACGCGACACAGTACCTTTCGTTTCTTTCTCCGATTCTCGGTCATGTCGGCATGCGTGAATTCTATGTGTCTCACCCAGTCCGACGGTCTGTTAAACGTCTGACTGCACATGTCGCACGTCAGCGGTGTGTATTCTTCCTCCTCCATGTCACCGTCCTCGTCCGCGCTGTGCACGATCTCCTGCAGCGAGAAAACAAGGGGAGCGTGATTGACAGAGAAAAGTCCTCTATTACGAGACAGATTTCTAATATAGGACAGCGGGTATTCAACGCCCAAATTCGATCACAGATCTTTCGTCGCAACGTTGACACGATCTAACAATGAATTTTCCCGTTGAACAGATTTCACTCCAAGAACAATAAATTCATGGTGGAATCAACCGGCGATGCCTGTTAATTCAACAGAAACCCTGCCATCCCGTATTAGGATCCTATCTCGTAACAGGGGACTTCCCTTCGCATCGGAAGAAACAACGTTCACTGTCCGTAGTAGCTTTTATCTTACGCACTGGTTTGATATCGATCTCATGGTCTATCGTAAGCGATTCCGACGGATCGATCGTCTCCTCCCAATCGATCGGCTCGTCCTTCACTAGTAGCTCGAGATTTAGTTCGGTCTAAAAGGAAGGAAGAACTTTACGTCGTCGAACAAGTGCTTTTTCTCAATTTCGCGTTACTGCGAAGTCTAAAGGAAGAAAGAAAGAACCAGCTCACGTTTTCGCCCTCGCTCTTCGACTTGTTCGACTCGACGTCGCTGCTGACGGCCTTCTTCTTCTTGCCGTTCGTCTCAAGATTCTCCTTGTTCTTGCTCTGCTCGTTACTCTTCTCCTCCAGGGTCTTCTTGCCCTCGGACTCGCTGGCCTTGTCGTCGATCTTCTCGACGCTCTTCCTCTCGACCGGCTTCGCCGGCTGCAGATTGTTCTGGCATGCCGCGGCCGCCTGTTGCACGTTCTCGATCACCTTCTCGGAGGTCGGCTGCACCAGCTTGATCTTCTGTATCTGCCCGGTCAGCTGCGACGTTTCCCGCTTGTCGCGCTCGATCTTCTGATTGTTCGACTGTATGTTCTCCTTCTTGCTGCTGCCGGTGTTCGATCTCCACAGTCCACGCACACGCAGTATGTCGCCGGCCTTCAGGACGCCCTCCAGCTGGTCGTTCGTCACGGTGGCCTCGCCGCTGTACATGTACTGTATCAGGATTTTCAGCGTGCGGTATCCGATCTCCGTGGGCAGCACCTGAAAGAAAGAAAGCGCAGTGCCAACATTGACGGATCGTCTTCCACCCTCGGGATCGGAGCTGGTCGTCCGGCGAAACGGACGGGGGGGAGGTGAGATTCTCGATTACCGACCACGATTATCGGCGCGTTGGTGTTGGCGCCGAAGTGGCACGTCTGGAAAATGTGGCTGAGGTAAGACGAGCAGGCGGCGAGGACGAACCGATGGGCCGCCACGTGCCGTCCGCAGGACGTGGCCAGCAGAACGTCCGCGAAGGACTCCGAGTGGAGCAGCGTGGCGACGGAGCTGTGCAGATGCGCCCCGTAGCTGTGCCACTTGAGCTGATAGTTCTCCGAGGCGGCGATGGCCATCTTTTCTGTGATCAACAGCGTCGTCGGATTAGCACTTGAAAATTACATCGAGATATAAGCGCCCGATTGTGTATAAAACGTCGGGGGGCCGCGATCGCGAGGGTCACGCCGAGGGGGGGAGGGGGAGGGGGATGGAATTGCGTTCTCGCGGAATTTCAACGCGTCACCGAGCGAGCCTGTTGCGCGCCGACGAACCCGTCGGCGAAGGGCGACGACGAGCCGATCGGACGACACGGGGCACGGCGGGACATCGCGGCACCGAATTTCCCTCCCCGTCGGCCTCGCGGCGTCTACTCGCGCACTTTTTATCCGTATCGATCTATCGCCGGCGATTAGCGATTTGCGGATAGCCGTCCGCAGAGGCGGCCGGGGGAAGCTATAGAAGAAATCGCCCCCTCCCCCCCATCTCTTACCCGCGATCTGGCGCGGGCGAGGAGCCGCGTCGCGCGCGATCCAGCGGGGGCGGCTCGGCTACTTAATCTTTTTTTCACCGCGGGGCGATCGTCGGCGTCGCCGCTACCCGACGGGGACAAAGCCGTTAGTTGCGGATCGTTCGCGATCGATCGCGACGGCGGCGAGCAGGGAGGAAGACACGGCGAGCGCGCTCTCCGGCACGATACTATTCGCGGGCGACCAGCGTGAAACGATTCGCCGAAGCGGCGCCGATCGACGAGTCCGCCTCTCGCTGGGCAGCGCGGCGCCGAGGGGGCTTCCCCGGCCGCGATCCGCGTCCGGTGCCGCCGTCGCCGTCGCCGCCCGTATACAGATCAATGCAGGCCGATAAGGGAGCCGCGGCAACGTGATAGCCCGCGCGCCCGCGACTCCTCGCGTTCCCGCCGTCGATCGGGCCCGCGAATATCAATCGGGTACGCGCGGGGCGGCGCGGCGAGGCCTGGCGCGGTCACTCGACACCCTCTGTCCGCAAATACGCGGGGGAATATGCACCGGGGAATCACCAGCCGAGGAACCGCCGACGAGCGCCCGTCCACGACACGCGGGGAGGAGAACGCGCCGCGTCGAGCACCCTCGATCCCGCTCCCTCTTTCTCCCCTTCTCTCCCTGTCTCTCCCTCCGGCCGGACGTCGTCTTTGCAGCTGCCCGCGATTTACCTGAGAGCATCGGCGCACCGGTAACGACGACTCCGGGTTCCACTGCCGAGGGAGACGGCTCCGCCGGGGATTAAACTCCGCGCGCGAGGGCTAGCCACGCCGACGACCAGGTTCCGGGGCTACGGGGGTGCAGCCGGGGGGGAAACGACGGGACAAGCACAGCGGGCAACGTCGACGGGGAACGAGGACTGCGTGCACGAGCGCGGCGTAGCCCGCGCGCGTCGTCGGTGTTTTGAAAGGCGCTTGGCGCGGACAGGACGGGGGCACACGGGGCAGATACGAGCATCGAACGAACCGCCGCGTAGGAGCCTAAAAATCGATATTTCGGTCTTTGCTCCGCATCCTCTCCGCGCGCGGCGCGGCGCGGAGCGGCGCGGAACGCGCGTCCGTGGCTCGCCGGCTTTCGCCGGCTGGAGAGAGAGAGAGACAGAGAGAGAGAGAGAGAGGGAGAGGGGGGAGGAGGGAGGGAGGGAGAGAGACGGAGAAAGAGGTAGGGTATGCCCCCCTGGCGTTCATCATCGATTTTCCCGGCTACCAATCGCACGCATCCATTTATCGCATCGATCGCCCGAGCTGATTTCAGCGTTTGCGTCCGTCCGTCCATCCGCCCGCTCGCTCGCTCGCTCTCCACGACGATTCATGCACCCTCCCGACGATCCCCCCCTCCCGCCTCTGCTTCTCTGCCCGCGCGTTCGACCTCCCTTCCTACCGTCCTCGCACACCGTCGGCGCGTACCCTTCCTCCCCTATCCCCTCGGCGAGACCACCCTCGCCGCGGCGGCGGCGGCGGCGGCCGCCGCCGCCATCGCCACCGTCGCGTTTCGGCCGTGCCTTCGATTACAGATATACGACTCCGCGGCTCGAGAGGTTCCCGAGAGGGAGGCTGGGCCTCGTCGACGCGAGATCGCGTCCGCCGACTTCCCCGTGCCTGTTGACACCCTACGTTCCCTCGC